CCAAGTACGTGTTTCCTTGCAAATTGCCTACTCAGTATACTTTGAATTGACAATCTCTATAGTAATGTGCAACCTAGGGAGGTAGTGTAGCACTATGGAGGATGTTGAAGTATAAGATTTTTCCTATCTAGCTCTCTGTTGTGCCAGTTGATTTCGTGAATTAGTGGAGGTAAGACCGTTGAATTCATGTGGTAATGGTGACTCTGATTGGATTGTGTTATGGACTCGTGTATCGAACAGGGTGCTCATGTGGGAAATGAAAAGAAGTTGGTCCTCCATGTTGAAATCATTGAAATCTTAAACATGGGGTAAGCCCAACGTGTGTGGCACCGTTCATTGCACAAAATCGGGTTTTGGAAGAGATTTTAGTGATCCTTAGTGGGGTACTCCTACAAGGTGAAGCTAAGTTGTCTCTAGTACAAGTAAAATTTTCACCCGTTGAACGGTTTGCCTACTTGAGGATGTGTTTTTAAGGGCACGGATAGAGCTTCCGACCCCCCTTAATTTCATTGACCCTCCACACGAGTTGAGGAAAAGGAGTTAAAAGAAGTACTCTAGCGAGTGCCAGATGTACAAAAATTGCTCTTTCTCGACTTATAAGGGTCGACCGTTCAAAAGACTGCAGTTGGAACCCCCGCCAAGTGAATGAAAAAAAAAGAAGTGTAAATGAAAGTGCAAAAAAAGGGTTCCAACAGTGAAATGAAGTGAGAGAGCGCCCCGGTACAACGAATCCTTGGTTGTGAAAGGTGTGAGTCCCTTTATCCATGAAGTGGCTGTCTTACTTCCACTTCTTCTCATGATCCTGGCTTGAGTCTAATACTCGCATTAAGAGAGATAGGGGACGTCTTAGGAGACCAGTTGACCTCGTAAGCTGCTATATGATCTAGGAAATCCTCTACCGACGATCGGGTTTATTTGTTGCTACAGAGGTCTGGAGAGTTGCATTGGTTTGAGTTAGGTTTGCTTGGGGACAAGCAAACGGTTAAGTGTGGGGGAATTTGATAACGTCGTATTTGCACATGTTTGCACCCTCGTTTCTTGATCATTTTGGTTTGAGTTTTTGATTTCTTGGACTATTTTACGCTAGGTTGTGTTCCTTTGTCACATTTCAGGTCCTAGCATGTAAAGTGAAGCCTAGGCGCAAGTTCCAAGTCAATAGGAGATCAATTGGCGACTCGGGGTGAGAAACTCGGGAATGACTTGAGAAAGAATGGATTTATACCTCATTTTATTGGCAAAGAATCATGAAATATTTTTATTAAAATAAAGAGAACAAGACTACGAGCATCTGGGATCAAACGGCACCGGAATCGGAGGTCAAACTAGCTCAAACGAGAACAACGAAGCTTAGGAGTGCATGCTGGAAATTGTGCACGGCCGTGTGAAATTCTGCACGGCCGTATGGGTTTCCCAGGGGGTTTGCACGGCCAAAACCTCAATTTGCACGACCGTGCAAGTAAGGGGTTCGAGTTTCAGCGAGTGTAAAAGCTGTTTTGCGATTTTTGGAGAGGGAGAGCTGGGTTTTGGATCCCAAACACCCAAGGGACGAACTAAAGAGAGAGAGGGTGATCTAGAGCCATTCTTGGAGCTATTTTGGAGGATTTATTCACCATTGGAGCTCGAGAATCAAGCTTAAGATGGAGATTGAAGATCTAGATCATATTTCTGCAGTCTCTCTCTTCTCTATGGAGTAACTTCCCTTCACTTAGGTTTTGAGGAACCCTAGTTCCATATGTTAGGATCTTTCTTGTATGAAGTTTTGGATGCTATATTGTGTGATTATAATCGATTGACGCATGATTTATTGAGTCAATTGAATCCTGATCAAATTCTCTTGATTTCTACTTTAACCTTTGATAAAAGAATCTGATTAGGTTAAGAGAGCTTCCTTGATTGATAGTAGTGAATTGGTTGTGTGAGAGTCGGTCAATTCACTGCTTTGTACTGGAATTCATTCCAGTAGTAGATATCTGTGTGAATCGCCTTAGCAGTTGACTCGCTAAAACACAACTCCTAACAATGGCCAAGTGTAACCAATGAAAGGGACTGCAGTATAGTGGCTCAAGTAATAAATATCGAATCCACGGGTCTCTAGAGTTACTATTACTCAGCTTCAGTTCATTATCTAGCAAAACAGATTAAGATGAAAGAACTAAAACTACTCTAGCAAACTACAGTTAAAGTTAATCTAATTACAGGTTGGGAACTCACTTAGGTATGATTCCCCCTAGCCACTAGCCAGATTAACGATTGATGATCTCTAACATGTTTCAGTTTCATTCACAATGCAGAGAATCCTTAACTAGACCTTGAGTCTCGACTAAAGGAACAAGGCCCTCTTGAGTCAATTGCCTAGAGGGACGTATCCTTCTCTAGAACAACCGATCAAGGCGTTCTGAACTAGATTCCCTCTATCGAATGAGGTTCTCAATCGATACAAAGCAGTGAATCAACCCTCGACTAAAGCAATCGATCCACTACTATCAATCTATGGTGCTCTATTGACCTAATCAGGTATTCGCTCTCATAGGATCAAAGCAGAATCAATAATCTCGACTAAAGCAGAATTGAATCATGAAAACATGCATAGATTGAATATGAACTCAAGATTATCAAGTCAGAGTACTCATACAATCATCCAATCAAACAAACATAGCTAGGGTTCCTCAAAACCTAAGTGAAGGGAAGTTACTCCATAGAGAAGAGAGAGACTGCAGAAATCTGATCTAGATCTTCAATCTCCATCTCCAAGCTTGATTCCCGAGCTCCAATGGCGAAGAAATCCTCCAAAATAGCTCCAAGAATGTTCCCAAGTCGCTCTCTCTCTCTAGGGTTCGTCCCTTGGGTGTTTGGGATCCAAAACCCAGCTCTCTCCCTTTCCTTTCGCTGAAAATCGGGTTTTAAACAACAATTCCCGACCCACACGGGCAGGCCGCACGGCCGTGCAGCTCACCCAGTTGCCCGTGCGAAGGCTCGGTGATTTCCGCACGGTCACGACTCGCACGGCCGTGCAGCTCACCTTGCACGGCCATGCAGCTCACCTTGCACGGCCGTGCGGATTTTCTGCTCTGCCCGTGTGGCTTGCTCAACCTCTGTTTAATGCTTCGTTTCTACCTCGTCCGGACTCCGAATCAGTCGCCGTTTGATCCCAGACGCTCGTAGTCTCCTCCTCTTTCGTTTCATAACAAGCTTGCATGATTATTTGTCCATAAAGTGAGGTAAAAATCCATTCTTCTTCAGGTCATGCCCGAGTTTCTTCTCTCGAATCGTCAATTGATCTCTGATTGACTTGAAACTTGCGCCTATGCTTCACTTTATGGGCTAGGACCTGAAATGGGACAAAGGAACACAACCTAGCATAAAATAGGCCAAAGACGCAATAATTCAAGCTCAAACAATCAAGAAACAAAGGGGAAAACATGTGCAAATACCGAGTCATCAGCAGTCTATCCCGGTGAAGGCTAGTCGCCTGCCGGGTATTCTGTCTAAGAGGGCTTGGCCAGCTTAAGAGATTCCAAGCTAATTTAGGACCTTCCGCAGTTTAATCAACAGTAAAACAACCAAAAGGAATTACAACTTGGACCTAATTGAGGAGCTAGGGGGAATCATATCTAAGTGAGTTCCCAACCTGTAATTAGATTTACTTTAACTGTAGTTTGTTAGAGTAGTTTTAGTTCTCCCATCTTAATCTGGTTTGCTAGATAAAGAACTGAAGCTGAGTAATAGTAACTCTAGAGACCCGTCCGTGGATTCGATATTTATTACTTGAGCCACTATACTGCAGTCCCTTTCATTGGTTACACTTGGCCATTGTTAGGTGTTGTGTCGTAGCGAGTCAATATCCTTGCAGTCTTCTTCTACCTCCCACTATCGCAGCGGCGGCGTCTTCCTTCTTCGTCGGCGAAGTCGTCGTCTTCTTCTTCCTTCTTCGTCGGCGGCGTCTTCTTCCTCGTCGGGATAGCTTTAACGTCGTCGTCGGAGTGGTTTCCAACAAGCCGTCGCCGACCTCGCACAAGCCGTGGCCGTCGCAGCCGTCGTTGCTAGGATTTGTTGGTGGTGGTTTTCGGGAGAAGAAGAAACAAAGAGGGAGAGGGTTGGTTCGAAAGTTTTTTGGAGAGAGAAGGGAGAATGAAAAATGCGTGTTGAGGGAGAGAGAGGCGAGTTTGGGTTTGAAATTTTGGTTTTTTTTTTAATTCTGGGCCCACTTCTCCCAAAAAACGGCTCGGCTTGGGCTGTCCACTCTTCCCTCCTCATACGACGGCGCCGGTGATTCCTCTCCCTCCGATGGTGGATCGACGCCGTGGACAAGGATCCCACCGTATTAGTATCTACTAAAGAGTTAGCAGAATAGCGCGATTGGCATGTGGAAGAGACGAATTGTGTAGATTATTATTACACGTGTTTTTTTTTTTTGGGGTAAGAAGAATAAAATGGGGCGAAATCCCAAATCGAACTTTACTAACAAGGTTGTCAACCCGCGGGTTGACCCGCGGGTCGACCCACTTTGACCCTGACCCGGTGAGAAAAACGGGCCACACGCACCCGCCGGGCCGACCGCTACAAGGTACCGGGTTGGAGGTCAAGTTGTGCCATTTTTTTCATTGGTTTGCGAAATGCGCCTATTTTCCGATTTTTCTTTTCGCCTAGCTCAATTTTTGGAATGCTAAGTTGAACATTTGAATATTTATGTTATATAAGTGTGTGTGAATTTTCACTATATGTTGGATCTATATACGATATGTTATTTTGGTGTAATATTATATGTTATAACTCATATGTTAGATAAGATTTGATATAATGTATGAGGATAAGTACTATATAATGACTTTTTCCATATTTCCGGGCCAAACCGGGCTAAAACGGTTGACCCATTAACCCTTGACCCACTAGCTCGACCGGGTCCGGGTCAGGGTCAACCCGCGGATTGACAACCTTGTTTACTAAATATGTGTAAATATTAATTAATTAATCGTGTTGCTGTTTATTGATTTGTTAAGAAACCAACCACGAGACCAAAAGACCAGACGGCTCCCCGCACACATCGCCCCTTCCTTCCCTCCCTCTTCCTTTCTGTCTGTCTGTCTTCTTCTCCCCGCAAAATTCACTCTCTTCCTTCCTTCCCTCCCACACTTTCGTGCTTCCATTCCCCTTTTCATTCTTCGTCATCTCCGTCGTCTTCTTTCGCGCGCCCATTTTCTTCAAGCAGCAGTAGCAGCAAGCCACCCAGTTCCAGTTTCCCCCAGTTCCAGTTCCTGCTTCAGATTGAAAATTCCCCACCGGTTTGGAGCTCGGAAGGCAAAGAATTGATCATCCACGATCTCAATTGCAGAGGGAGAGCGAAGTGAAGAAGAAGGCAACCCAACCTATCAATCAACCAATCAATCCACAGTTGGGAGTGTTGAGAATTCAGAAAACCGGAGATTTCCTTTCAAGCCCCTCTCACCTGCCCCCTTCTTCTTTATGTAATGCATCAGAAGAAATCAGAAGTCCAAATCGGAAAAGAAAGCAGCGGCGTCTCTTCCGATTTCAACCCTACCCCTCCCCTCCTCTTCCCCCCACCGCCTTCTCCCTCTTCCGCCACCACTGCTACCTCCGATCACCACCGTCTGTATCATCATTCCTCCACCGCCGCCGCCGCCCTGCCTTCCCCTCCTGCCCAGATTCTCGTCGATTTCTCTGAAGATATTCAACAGACCCCTAATGACCCAATTGCGCCCTCCCCTTCATCGGCTTCTTCTGCATCTACCCCTTACAAGCGGACCCTTTTGACCCACCACAACCACCACGCTTCCGCCGGTCTGGCTGGCCCTCCCCCTCCTCTGCCTCGTCGCTCTTCCTCCCTTCCCAAATCCCCCACCATCTACCATTTCTCCTCATCATCCTCTCCTCCTCATCACCCGCTATTGACTCTCTCAATCGCTGCCAAATCCACCGCCCTTCGCTTCCTCCGCCGTTTCCGCCACTTCCGGCGTATCCGAGTCCATCTCCGTCTAATTCTTCTCTTCTCTCTCCCCTTCTTCTACTTCCTCGTTTCCCATCCTAGCCACTCTTTTTTCCTCGACTTCTTCTCTGCTTTTGCCTTCTCTTCTGTTCTCTTGTTCTCCCTAAATCTCGCCCTCCCTCGGCTCCCTTCAATCCGATTGTTCCTAGCCCGCTCCTTTCCGATAAAGCTCGCTGCCTCCTCTAAGATTTCTAAACCCCCGTTGCCTGTGTTGTGGTCGATTGGGTCCAGACCCAGACCGGAGAAAAGAGGTCATTCTGGTTGCTGGGTTCAGGTTTACAGCAACGGGGACGTCTACGAGGGAGAATTCCACAAAGGTAAGTGCTCCGGGAGTGGAGTGTACTATTATTACATGAGCGGGAGGTACGAGGGGGATTGGGTTGATGGCAAATATGATGGCTATGGAGTGGAGACCTGGGCGAGAGGGAGCCGCTACAGAGGCCAATACAGCCAAGGTCTTCGTCATGGGTTTGGAGTTTATAGGTTTTATACAGGAGATGTGTACGCTGGGGAATGGTCTAATGGCCAAAGCCACGGCTGTGGAGTTCATACTTGTGAAGATGGTAGTAGGTATGTTGGAGAATTCAAATGGGGGGTCAAGCATGGTCTTGGTCACTACCATTTCAGGTAGTGTGCATATCTCTCTCAACTCCTTTATCCTTCATGTTAAATGGACATGATTACTGAATTAGTCATCTGCTGTTCTCCTTCTCGTGTACTTGATTGAACGTATCTTGGTAATCATTTATTGGATTTTGCAAGTAGGGTATTGGTTTCAGTTTTCTGTGCCTTGGGATGTTGTTGCTTTGATGTGATTGCTGTGAGGATTTGTTGTGCAAAATTGTAGGCGTCTTACTTGAAGTTGGCGGCCAACAATAAAGTTCTTTTTTTGTTGGACCGAAGGATAAAGTGCTTGCAGTTATCCCTGTCAATATGGTTTACCTCATATATGGTGCTAGTAAAGCACTCTAGCTTAGCTGGGTTTCCCCCCTTCCTCTTGTTTGTAAGTTGATGGATGGAAAGCATTATCATTTCATAGTGAGAGGAAATGTGCAAGGCCCGGGGGTTCTTTTAGCCATCGAACAGTGGAACACATGGAAGAAGCTTAATCTCCGAAATGCTGTCTTCACTTTGGAGTTTGGTCGCCTCATGTAGCTTGAGTTCTTGTTATCATGGCAATGAACCTGTTGTTCTCTTAGCCTGTAATGGGACGGAGTCATCGATATTTGTGCGAACTTGGGTTGCATTGAAAAGCCTAAGGGACTGCTGAACAGTGAGCATAAGTATGCAGTTATGGATATATAGTGCAAGGATGATCTGGCATTTAGCTCCTGTGATATTTTTTAAGATGTCTCTTGTTTGTTCTCTTTGATCAAGTTGTGGACTGCCCCTCCATTGTTAGTGAAGAAGATATTTCTGGCTGAGATACGCTCTTGGAGTGTTATCTGATTATCTGGACATGCTTCTTTATCCTTTCTTTCATTCTTGTCGGATCCCTTCAGGGAACAAGTAGGGTATGTTGTTTGATCTCTCTGAGGTTTGGTTGTCCAGTCAATTAATGCTCAAGTCAAAGGCACATCCTTAAGCTATCATCTATAGTCTATACGATAGCTGGCTAGTTTCTCCCTCCGCGTTGGCTGGAGAGTCTTATTATTATGGGAAGTCTTACTAGAATCTTTCTTTTCTTGTTATAAGAATTCTGGCCGCTAAAAGTGCGTAGTGAAACTTTCTTTTCTTTTCTTGTTATGATTTGCCATTGTATGCATTTGGCAAATTTGATAATTGTGTTACAAATTCATGTAGAGCTTCTTATTGTTCTGTTGGCCATTTTTCTGATGGTGTTGAATGTTTATTATAGAAATGGTGACACGTATTCTGGAGAATATTTCGCGGACAAGATGCATGGATTTGGGTTGTACCGTTTTGCAAATGGGCATAGATATGAAGGAGCCTGGCATGAGGGTAGAAGGCAAGGCCTGGGAATGTATACATTCAGGAATGGGGAGACACAATCAGGACATTGGCAGAATGGAATTCTTAATGTCCCAAGCACTCAGAATATAACCCCTCCTGTCTCACCTGTTGCTGTTTATCATTCTAAAGTACTCAATGCTGTTCAGGTACAATTGATTTAAATTTTCACTTCATTAGCTGTTAACGTGTGGATGCTTTGTTGCATGTTCCTAGTTGCGGAGTTTTGATCATCTCAAGTCTGATGGACCATTCTCATTTCTTCTGTGTCTAATATATTTGGCGTGGCCAGGAAGCAAGGCGGGCTGCAGAGAGGGCTTACGATGTGGGGAAGGTGGATGAGAGGGTGAATAAAGGAGTAACAGCAGCTAACAGAGCAGCGAATGCAGCTAGAGTAGCAGCGGTTAAGGCTGTTCAGAAACAAATGCATCATTCTAACCATCTTGAGAATACACTTCCAATCCCGATTGTGTGAATGCAAGTGTTCAGAGGGAGAGACAGCAAAAGGAGCAAGTGGCTTTTTATATGCTGAGTTTTTCCATATCATCATCTATCTCATCCTAGATGCACAAAGAGGAGAGCCACTTTGTGTCAGATTGGGAAATGACTGGAGTGCACACCACCACCATCACCACCACAACGGTGTGCCCACTTGAGCGGAGAACACTGATAGAGTTTGGAAGAGATTGACCAGTTCCATTTTTCTTTTAACCTTTTTGTTTTTGTATACGAGCAAAGCCTTTGCCCACTTGAGCGAGTGAGTTCTTGAGCCTCTTTCTTGGGGCGTTTTTCTGGTTCTGTATAGATGAGTTTTTAGATAGAAGCAGCTCCTGGAGAGCGAGCGACAAAACGATTATAAAAATTGTGGAGCACAGGTGAAACCTCTGCTCAGCAGACTGCAGACGTGTTTGTATTCTTAGACAAAGATACTGGCAATCAATTTAAAAGTGTTTGTTCCTCCTACCAAGTCACAGATGAAGAACATTTTGCCAGACACGGATGAGTTCTTCCCCCCCTCAAATTCCAAGACCTCTCACTCACTCACCAGTCACCACAACGGCCGGATTGCCCAATGGTAGGTGATAAATCATCTTGTAGTGGCTCAGAATTTGAAGCTCATTCTTAGCCAAAAATACAAAATGTTAGCCAAAGTTATTTGTAAACTTTGTAGTTTTGTTAGTAATATTGAATTGGTAATATGATATTGACTTGAAAGAGACACATGGCAGACAATATTTTATAATTTTATATTTTAACTAAGAAAAGAGTTACAAAATTACTAATGGTAACAGACAAATTGCTAATATTTTGATGCGTTATTAAGATTTGACTAATATTTTGTATTTAGAAAGATTTGACTAATAATTTGGATAGTTTGGCTAATAAAAAGTATTTACTTTTTTTTTTTACAAAGTGCAGTTCATTAAGATGACAAAGGAAAATATACAAATTATAAGGCAAAGACAATCAAACCGAAGGCCCAATAGAGCCCTAACCCAAGGACTACAAACATAGTCAAACCGTCCAAAACTCTAGCCGCCAAGCAACTCCTTTAGAGAAATCACAGGCGCTGGCCGAAAACTCCTCCGCCACCAGATGCAATCGAAACCCACCACCACTGATGAGTCACAAGCACGTGAAAGAGGGTCGACGAGACGACGAGTAGGGGGGAGCCAGGTTCAAACTACCCCGGATGGAAGGCAGCAAAGAGGCACCCTCCAAACAAACCTCCCCAGACCGATCGTCGCCAGTATCACCACACCCACACCATGGAAAAACATTAGAAGGATTAGGCATGCAGTGAGAGGAGCCAGAGGGATGATCTTTGTCTTCGAATTTCTCCAACCTGAGTCCAAGTCAATGGCTCTTGCATCTCTGAATCACCAAACCTGCAGGGTGCAACAACGAGGTAGACGAAGGGGTTGGAAATGGGAAGACAAGCTAGTCGAAAGAGCAACTCGCCTCGAAGCTAGTTAGATCAGAGATCTCCAGATCTAGGAACTAGATCGGCGGAACAAAAGTAGAATCCACAAAGGGAACAGAGAGAGGACCCATGCAAGGTAAAAGAGAAGCGTCAATCAAGGAAGGAGAAGCAAAGGAAGAACAAATTAATACAAAGTAAACGTGCAAAACCAAAATCGACAAAGCGGGAAAAAAAGAAAGCAATCAAAAGGAAAAGGATATGGAGGGCCACCGCAGTCCCAGAGGGGAAGCCGTCGACAGCTCTGTGGAGGAAATCGGAATTGAAACTCTAAGCTAGAGAGAATTCAGAGAAAGTGACTCGCTCGAATCTACACTACAATTAAACCCCAATTAGAGCCCAAGTTTTTAAACTCTAATCGGGTGTAGTATAGTACAAGTATCTATATATCGACCCGAGCCGGTCTGTCTACCCCTACTTCGGTTGTTGACATCATTATCTAGCGATAAAACTTTGGTTTAAAGGTTTGCCAATTTAAATGAAAGAAAGAAAAAGTAATTTGGTTTGAAAACTCTTTTGTGGGAAAGTCGCTTGGGTTTCGCTTCCCCTTAATCGCTACTATACTACGTGGGATGGAACGATTGCCTTGGGCACGTTAATCGTGAATCGCAGAGGAAAGTGTATGTGGTCGGGGACCACAGTCTCGATTGCTAAACCGAGTGGAAGATGAAAAGTCCTATCACGCGACCCTCTCGGTTTAAACAATCGGTAATCGGCTTACTTCCTCACTCAACTCTAAGGTCGGATGGTTTAACCACGATTAATCGACTTGTTCAATTTAATATTGAGGATTTCCCTAACTCGACCTAGTTTAGATGGCTTGGAGAGCGGAAGGAAAACCAACTCGATTGAGTATCCCTTAAAAGGGGGATTTTCCTCTCTAAACTAGGCTAAGTTGGAAAATTAGATTACTAGCACCTAAATGCACAAACTTAGGGGTGCTAAGCACAATTATGCACAACCCTAGGATGCTAAGCACAAAATATGCACAACCCCTAAGTTGCTAAGCATAAGCATGCCAAATCATGGTGAAAATACCTCAAACATTAAATTGAACAATGCCTAATATCAATCATTCAAACCACATACAAGAAAACTACATAGTAGGGTTTATGGTTTCACTACACCCAAGTGGGAGGAGGACTACTCCATGGAAGAAGTGGGAAGAACAAAGGAGAAAAATATGAAAACCATCTTGTGGGGATGCCTCCTCTATTCTTCAACCTTGAGCTGGGATTTCCTTGGGGAAATCTTCCCAAAACCTCCTTTGAAGCCAAGCCCTAACTCCTTCTTCTCTCTTGGTTCTGGTTCTCTCTTTAAAATGCAGAAGAAGTGTTTCTCTCACAAAAAGTGGCTCTCCCTCCTCTTTCCTTGCAGCTCGGCTTTTAAACACGAGAGGAGCTGAGTTCACGGCCTGAGTTCACGCCCGTGAACTCTCAAACGCGTCCGTGAACTCACGCCTTGCGCCAAACCGCTCTGCATCGATCACGGCAGTTCACGGGCAACTGCTTGTGTTCACGGTCTTAGTGACGGTGAACTTGCCTTGCGTCTGTAACCTTCAAGTTGGCTCTGGACGCCTTGCGCTTCACGGTCAACTCCACTTCTTCACAGTCTTGCGCGACCGTGAACTCCTGCCTTTATCCGTGAACTTATGTTTTTTCACCTCTTCTCCCGGTTTTCAATCCTTTTCGCCAATCCTTCGACTCTGAGGCTGGTTTCACCTGTTAAATCCTGAAAAACACTCAAACACGCAGAACCTCGCGTAAAACTAACCTCTAATGAGCGAATTTGGCACAAACATCTAAGCAAACCGGGGGCACAATATGTGCAATTAGGCCCGAATCAGAAAGGAAAGGTAGAGATAGCAAATTTGAATTGGTTCACATGGCTACTATAAAAGTTCAAATCTAAAGGGTGATAATTAATGACTTTTTATTTTCCTTAGTTTTCTTAATCGGCTCTTATCTTCTTCGTGCTAATTTTTATTTCAAATTATTTTGTACAAGTGGAACTAGTTTGTTGTGATCTACAAAATGAAATCTATTTTCAATATATTTTGACCAAAAAATAATAATAATACCACTCGTTACCACATTGGTACCACCTTCGTTTTTAACTCAAATTTTAATTTTTTTTTTTTGCACAGATGAAACGACTTCATCGTGATTATTCGATCTAAAAGTTTTATGGGAAAAAAATACAGGACCAAAGCTTATAAATCCATACCACCCTAGTATATGGGTGATAACTGGTGGTACACAATGATGAATGTGATGAATGAAGTTCTTATATTCCTACTATAATGTATTCAACCATTATATACTTTGTTATGTTCATAGGCAAAATACAATTCTATAGCCAAAATTTTCGGGTTTGTGACAATAATAGCCACTTTTGAGAAAACACCATATATAACCACATTTTTAAAACTTGTTTGACAAATTTAGCCATTTTCGTCAAATACTTTAACACCGTTAACGATTCCGTCAGTTAGACGTTAGGCTGATGTGACTTCCACCTAGACGACACATAATGTCCACATAGACTCGCCATACCACATGGCTGGCACGTCATGTTTTAAAATTAATATATATATATATATATATATGGTGGCATCTTCGGTGCACTCACTTTTTTGTGTGCATTCAGTGCACTCGCTTTATAACTGTCATTTTAAACATGCGATTTATGTCAAAATGATGTCAATCATCACTTATAATGTGATGAACAATAATGCACATGAATTTGCACGAAAACCATTGAAGATTTACTTTAATTTGAAGGATTTGGACTTTAGAGATTTAGGGTTAGGGTTAGGGTTTACAATTTGGGGTTTAGGGCTAGAACTCAAAATTGGAGGTCTAGGGCTTAGGATAATCCGCTAATTAGTTGTTATCATATGTTATATAATCATATTACACTAATTCTACAAATTAAAATTCAAAATCCGACACCTTAAGACTAGTTTTTTTTTATAAGACTTAAGACTAGTTTTTGAGTTGGGTGCATTGAACACACTTATTTTTGTGAGTGCACCGAAGTAGTCACCATATATATATATTGTATGCAGAATTTCATTTAATCTCTCTCTTCTTTTTTTGGTAAAATACACTTGTGTAGCCAAAACTTTCACGTTTGTGTCACTTATAGCCACTTTTGGCGAAATACCACTTATAGCCACTTCCGTCCAATTCTTTAACGGTGTTAGTGTTAAGTCTGACTGGACAAACAAAGATGCTGACGTGTTGAGCATTTCTGGCCAAATTTGCTGATGTGGCAATTTTATATAAAAAAACATGTCAAATGAAAATGTATTACCTTGTAATGAGGAAAATAAAAAATAAATAAATAACAAAAAAGATTGGAAAAATCAACCTCTCCCTCTCTCTTCTTCCTTTTCCTTTGTTTGCCCAGTTCTCTTTTCTTCCTCGATTTGTGGGTCCGTCATCCACTTCCACGCAGGGGAGACGCGATGGCCGGGCGACGAACTGGAGTGGATTGGTGACTGGTGGTGGCAACGATGACTAATCACCATTTGAGATTCTCAGAACTGGAGTGGATCGGTGTTTTCTTCTTTCCATTTTCGTTTGTAGTTGGCGGACAAGGAGCTCTCCTCTCACCCAAGTAGCTAGATCTAGAACTTCTTGGGTTATTCCCAGAACCAGACCTTTTCCTCTGTCTATGCTTTTCGGATTTGCCTCTGCTATTTTTGATCAGGACCTTTTTTGTGGTTCGTCGTTGTCGTCGAGGCATGCTTTGATCAAGATCTGCATATGGGTTTGGATGCAGGGGAGGAAGGAGAATTTTGTTCGTTCTCGTATCAGGGCTTCTTCCTGTTTCAACATAAGAATTTGAAATTTCCAGAACCCAAATCCAACTTCGTCTTCTCCTCTTCCTTCCTGAACCCCTTCCGGCGATTTCTAGCCTTTCTTGATCTCCAATATCTCATATGATATTCGCTGGCCGATGAAGTTGAGGTATGGGAAGGGAAAGGTCGAACAAAAGGGCGGATCCGGATAAATTCTTTTAACAGATCTCGGTTCGAAGACACCCATTTCTCTCGGCAACGTGTTGGATCTACTTCCAGAATCGGAGAAAGTGGTGGCTTCGTTAATTAGTTTTTGGAATTGGGGATTCTAAAGCCGGTTTTTTTTTTTGGGGGAGGTTGGATAAATCATTTGTGTACAGAGAGGAATGGAAGGCGATTAAGAGAAACGAGAATTTTCATCTTTTTATA